AAGGTTGCTGGACTCGCACATGGTCCACTGTAGTTTGAGACCCAGACCTGGCAGCTTGCTTTGGCTCTGTGGTAGAATCAATGCCAACCTACACTGCATGCTTGGTGATGAAGACAGGATGGCATGTCCTGTTTGCCCATGGTGTGGGCAGTGCAGGCGGGTAGTTGGGATTGATGAATTGTTTATTACTATCATGTCCAAAGCATTTTGAAATACAAAAGGACTTCATAAAGTTTATGGACAAAATGGAATTAAAGAACAAATTTATTTTGGTGTGAAAATTTTGAAATCTACCTGTAGTTTACTCATGATATGCATAAGCTTTTTGAAGATGCCACTTATTATTCAGCCTTAAGAGGGAAAGGAATTCTGGGACCAGCAGTTGGCATAATGGCTATGTGGCTGGACTGGAACCACAGTTCGGGTTCGAGTCTCAGATCCGGTGGCTTAAACTCATGCTGGGTATGTGTGCATGTGTGACGAAGATCCTGAGAGGAAAATGGAGGAGTAGGGATTGCAGTGTGGCCATCCTCCCTGGGGGTGATTTCTCTCTTTCTGTCTCTCTGTCTCTCTCTGTCTTTCTGGTGAGCACATGCACGCTATAGCAAAAAGCTTCTCCCAAAAAAAAGAGAAAAAAAAAAAAAAGAAGGAAGGGAATTCTAACACATGCTACAGCATAGGTGAGCCTTGAGGATGTTCTGCTGAGTAAAAGCCAGTGCCCGAAAGACACATACGTGATCCCACTTATGAGCTGTCAAGAGGGTAATCAGACTCCGACAGAAAGCACAATGGTGGGGGGTGGGCATTGTTCAATGGGTTTGGAGTTTAATTTTGCAGACAGAAAAACCTGGAGACTGAATGCAGCGGGGCAGTAGGGCCGTGCATGAGTTAAAGAACTTACTGAGGACAGACTGGGATGGGTGGGGGGATGGGTGGGCGAGAGTGTCAGGAGCATCCTGTGCCTCACAGGTGGAGAGGGTCTTCTTTTCACGGTCTCAGCTGTAGAGGGAGGGTAAGGATAAACCCTGCAGCCTTGGTCGGGGTAGGGGCAGTGGGATGCTGGTCTTTTCTCAGGAATGCAGCATCTATCAGCCTCAGGTGATGGTGGAGCCAGAGAGGTCTCTCTCAAAAACTTATTTGCACCCTTAACCTGAGCAAATTTACTTATTTCCTTAAGAAAGACTCATCTTAGGCCCTTTTTATTAACCCTTACTTGCCTGTTTTCTTATGAACCTCATCAAACACTACTGAACTGTACACTTAACGTAGCTCAGATGGTAAATTTTATGGTAGGTGTATTTTACCACAGTGTTTAAAATAAGTAAATAAAAGGCTTATTCAGCATGCACCAAGCGTTGGGCATTATACCAGGCACCAGGCAAGACAGTGTGAGCAAACTCAAACAGGGCTCTTAATGTCCCCGTATGGGATATGTGGTAAATAGAATATCACATAAGTGCAGCTGGGACACACACCACTGAGGGGAATTCATGGCCCTGAGTTGGGCGAGTATGGGGACTTGACCTCACCAGCAAGGCCAAGCAAGGCCTAGAGCAAAGACAAGCAGGAGGAGGAAAGACCATTCCAGGAAGAGCAGTGCATGCAAAGGCAGCAAGAAGGGCAGGGCTGAAGGAGGGCCAGTGTGGCGGGAGGCGGAGGGCGGCAGACACTGCGGTAGGAAGACACCCGGGCCAGTAAGCTGCATAGCCTGAGCTAGGTGCTGTCTTATAGTACATTCCTCCTACTCACAGCTTCATGCCTAAGGTCAAACATTTGTTCATAGACATGTGTATATCAGCTGAACTTGCTGTTCAAAGTAGCTAAATCAATTAAGGTAGTTTGTTAAGCAATAAAATGGGGTATTAAAAAAAAGGAGTGGAAAGCAACTGCAGATACCAGAGATAGTGTGGGAGGAGGGTGGGAAATGGCAGAGGTGGAGGTGTGTGAATATATATATATATACACACACACACACATATGAATGAAACAAGAAATGGAAAATTATCTGTTGATAACATGTATGACTAAGCCACCATACAGTGTATTCTGGATGGGAAATCACATTTTGTATGCGGTGATGATGTTCAGTGAATGAATGTGAAATAATTTAATTAATTTAAAGAAAAAAAAAAAAAAGGCTGGTGAAGATGAGAACAGCCAGACCACAGGGCTTCGTGGCCACCTTAAAGAGTTTTTGTTTTGGGGTCAGCAGTTGGTGTGTTGGTTAAGGGGCTGGACTCCCATGTGGCCAACCGCTGTTTGAGTCCCAGACCGAGCAGCTTAAAAATCATGCCAGGCATATGTATATGCATGCCCAAAATCCTGAGATAAAATGGAGGAGAAGGGATTGCAGTGTGGTCCTCCCCCTTGGGAGTGATGGAGTGATTTCTCACTGTCTCTCTCTGTTTCTCTCTCCAGTGAGTACACATGCCATATGGTAAAAACCTAATAAAAAATTTTTTAAAAAAAAGAGTTTTGTCTTCCTTCCTGAGCAGAATGGAAAGTCATTGAGGTTTTGAGCTTAAGATGGGGAGACAGAAAAGCAGGTTTGTGTTTGGAGAAGTTCAATCTGAAGGAACTTTTTTTCTTATACGGAAGAATCTTATGAAATACTAAGAGTTTTATCTCAATGAGGGCCTTGCAACAGAGTCCACCCTGGTATTTGCAGGGCCTGGCTAAAGCAAGTGTTCCAGTCCAAATCAAGTGAACTAGCTGTTACCCAGGTGTCCCATCTTCCTACCCCGACAAACATGTCTCCATAACGAAAATGCCAAAAGTGATGTGTACGACTATGACTTTTTATATGACTAAAGGTATAAAAGTATCAAAAGTGGCAAAGTATCAAAGACAATCGCATTTCACTAAAATTGCACAGCCTGAATGTTCTGTGAGGGCAACCAGATGCAGATGATAATAATAAAGAGATTTATAATTAATAAATCATTTCCTGTTGCATAATTTTTGCCTCCACTATACCAAAATCAGTAAATATGTTATTTTAATTAAGATTTTTCACGTGGCTTGTGTTCTTTTAACAGAAATGCAGAGTGAAAAGAACTTCACTTTTTTGGGGAAACCTCTTCATTGAGATGTCGTTCACAACCTACAGTGCATCCATTTAAAATGTACAACTTTTCTTGAGTCATTTTAGTGCTGAGATAGTTGCTCAATCATTTCAATGTGAAGAAAGTTGGCTCTTCTATGGGCATAGCAACCTGGACTATCAATAAAATTCTTAGGGGTTGGATGATAGCACAGTGGCAACACGTGACACTCTGTGAGGTTGAACCACAGGAGAATTCTGGGTTCACATCTGGAGGCCTCCCCGAGTATGCTGGGCACCTGTGTGCGTGGAAATCTGAGGATGACTGAGGCTTGGAATAGGTCACTGCATAAACACCCTATGGGAGGGGCTAGCTCTCTAGCTCTCTCACACACTCATGGAAGAAAGAAATAAAATTAATTTTTGAACCAATACTTAGATTTGGAACTGAACCATAGGGACCAGCTGATGGCATAATAGTTATGTCACTGGGCTTCCACATGGCCAATCGTGATTCAAATCCTGGACCAGGAGGCTTGAAACTCAGGACATGTGTGTGCGTGTACCGAAGATCCCAAGAGGAAAAAGGAGAAGTGATTGCAGCATGGCTATCCCCCTAGGGGGTGATTTCTGGCTTTCTATCTCTCTTCAGTGAGCACATGCTCCCTATAGCAAAAATCTCTCTTAAAAAAAGGAAATGAGCCATGAATATAGAATAATGAGGTGATAGGATCTTATATAGTAAGTTATCTTTATCACAGAAAATAGAAAATATTTTAATTCTAATGTAGAAATCTCTATCACTTATACTGCAGCTTTCACTACTTTTTCAAGCAATGTCTCAATCCAATGTTAATGTAAAGGCTTTGCATTGTATTGGGTCATCAGGAAAGCCATAATGCCTTTTTACATAGAAAAGCATAACAATACACCATGACTTTCCTGACAACCTAATATTTCATATATATTTTCTCTTGGCACCTATACACATTTGAGAGCAGTTGGAATGGTTTAACTTTGTGCAAGTTTCCTTGGCTGCCATGTGCAGATTAGTGTTGTGAGTTTTAAGGACTTTCTGAACTATGCACTAGAACATGAAGAGAAACCAGCATGTACACAGTTGGCGTGACTGGGAAAACGGCGTTTCATTGTACAAGTGTTGAGTGTATTCACATATCTGAAAAGAGGGAGTTGGAGGATTACTTAGCCTCTTCTCTTCTCCAACTGTTTCTGCTGCTCGGAGCCCCTTGCACTCTGAAGCAGCTGCTGCTGCTGTGTCCGCAGTGAAAAACCCTTTAATGCTTAGGACTTTCAGACACAGTCGCCTGTTGTTTCAAGGACTTAGGACAAGGGATGTGGGGAAGTTTAGGATGGTACCACAGTGTAGCCTAAAACTGGGTAAGTGTTCAGCAGACCCTTTGCAAGTCTATCTCATCAACCTGTTTTTGTTTTAAGAATTATCTCATTCCATTTGTTATTGCTCTTTAATTTGACCAGAGGAGCAGAGAGAAAGGAAAAGCAAGAAAACAAGCCACAAGGTCTGGGACTCGAACCAAGGTTGGCCATGTGGGAGTCCAGTGCCTTTACCACACTGGCTGCAGCCCCAACGTGGGTTGGCTGATTGGTTGGTTTTATGAGAGTGAAGTGCTCACATGCACACACACAGACACATTTTCAGCAGGGTCTCATGATGCAGTCCTTCACCCTTCTACCTTTCCAGACAGCCAGGATCATGGGTACATGCGTCCAGTGTGGAGAGGTCAACTAGGAAGCAGAATCCATGATCTTCCATGTGGATCCAGCATTGCTGAACAGAACAGTACTGGTGTGCTACCAAGCCAGTCCCCATCAAACTATTCATTGTGAAATAAACTGATCTACCGAGATGGCCTTTCTTTCTCAGAGTATTCCTTTTGGTATCTGCTGACGTGTTTTTCCACTTATTTTTGTTTTACAGGAACTGGTGAAAGTGGGAAAAGCACCTTTATCAAGCAAATGAGAATCATCCATGGGTCTGGTTACAGCGATGAAGACAGGAAGGGGTTCACGAAGCTGGTTTACCAAAACATATTCACTGCCATGCAAGCCATGATTAGAGCCATGGACACCCTAAGGATACAGTATGTGTGTGATCACAATAAGGTACAGTGCTTAAAGGGCATTTGTTCTATTTACAAATATCTGTCTTCCCACTCGGGTTGGCATATATGTCTTTGGACAAAAAGATTTACTGGGTGCTTTGGTCATATGTCAGAAGGAGATCTTGAGCTCAAACTTCAGGGTAGAAATACTTGATCAGAATATAAGGAACTTAGTCCTGTGGCCTTGTTTCTGCATGACATCTGTCACTTTGATAGTGTGATACTACTCTGTGTGCAGGGATTCTGCAATCTGGAAGTCATTTAGATTGTTATTTCAGGCTCTGAGGAAGGGAAGACAGATGTGTTCTCCTTCAGCTAAGAGACCCAGTTACTTACTTCATTGGAATAGTGGAGACATTGGGTTTACAGTGGTCAGCTTTTCAAGAACTCCCAGTCTCAATAAATAGTTTCACTAACGTACTACAGACTACTCAGAGCAACCAGTGGGTTTGGTGTATTTATGCTGGGAGCTCACCCTACTTGAGAACTAAGTGATCGTTTATGAGACCATTGCTTATATCCCAGCTAGCAATGTGCTCTTAGAAAGTGGTGGTGTCAGGCTAACATTTGCTTTTCTATCACCAATGATTATCAAAAACACAAATCTGTTAGAGACCAGAAGGAAATAAAAGGAAGAGGAGACAGCTAATAAAATTTTATATGGTGTATTGGAAAGTGTACCCATAGGAAAACAATAGTCTGAGTTCATTAAAAGTCTAGATTAGAAATTCAAGTTGATTTAAAATAGTTAATACCAAATTTCAATATGACATGAAGAATAAAGAGAAGACCCATGTCAGATGGATCCTTGTGGATCTATTGTAAAGGAATTCAGCTGCCAAAATGGACAGAATTGCATGGGCTTTAGTAAGAACCCAACCCCTGCAAAACAATCTTATTATGAACTTGTAGCACTTACTCTCATGTACATAGGTTTCACATATCTGATCATTGAAGGGTTTCAAAGCAAGCAACTTTTTTTTTAACTCTTCAGTGACTGAAGTCTATGGGAAAACACAGTGTATACCAAAGTTTGCACTCGCTGTTACATTACCTCTTCAACTTCATGTGTTTATCATCATTTCCTTGCGGTCTTGAAGAATGAGGGGGTATGCCTTGCCTACAACAGTGTTATACTGAAGAGTGTGGAGCAAACTAGTCCGTATTCTATCTGATGACTAGTGACATGAGGGGGGTACATACTGAGCCACTGGGAGCTTCTACAAGCGATTGTCATGACTCCGTTCCACACTGCATTTGAGTATATGCATCATCTTTTTGGGGGGAGGGCAGGGGGTGGGAGAGCATACAATTCTTTTTTACTTATCCTGTAATGTATTCTAAAAATTGGGCTTTCTGGAGATTTAAAACTATTTCAAGGAGGCATGGCCAGAATGTCCTTGTGGTGATTTCAGTTGATCTGTTTTCCTCTGTTGTAATATGTTCTTTGTTTACCAGTCATGGCAGAGTGACTGGGTGAAACTGGAATTTGGGATGGATTTGTAAACAGAGCTATGGGGGAAAAAGCTCACGAGTAAGCCTGTTCTACTTGCCTTGGCAACATGCCTTTGTAAAACCAGGTCAGACTTAGTAATTGAGGCCGCTGGGTTTTTGTTTTGTTTTCCTTCATGGTCTTCTAGGGTACCCTGAGTTTACATTCTAAACTAAGAAGTCGTAGGGGATTTGACATTCTACCACTTCTTTTTTCTTGGTCTTGATGATTTTTTTCATACGCCATATCCATTTGCCTGCTAATTTGCATTAGTTTGTCTAGGGCTGCTATAACCTCAGTGGCTGGCTTAAAACAGATTTTTTAATTTTAATTTTAATTTTTAATGATTCTGGTTGCTAAAAACCAAAAATCAAGGTTGATTAGTATTGGCTCTGAGAGAGTCCATTTTAGCTCCTGATGGTTGCTAGACATCCTTGGCATCCTTTGGCCTAGAGATACATCACTCCCGTCTCTGCCTCTGTTTTCAAGTGGCCTTGTCCCTATGTGTTCATATGGCATTGCCCTCTGTGTCTGTGTCTAAATTTCCTTCTTCTTGTAAGGACACCAGTTATTGAATCAAGGCCTACCCTAATCCAGTATGACCTCATCTTAACTTGATTACATCTATAAAGACCCAGTTTCCCAATACGGTTACACTCTCAGGTAACTTGGATAGACATGAATTTTGGTGAGACAGTATTGAACCCAATAGATCTGCTCTCTGACCCCCCAAGATTATGTCTGTTCCACACATTCACTCTGTTCCAACATCCCTAAGTCTTAACCCATTCCAGTATCAACTCTGTGTCCCAAATTTAATCTAAATTGAAAAGCTCTATATAGATCTTGACCTAAATTAAGTATGGGTAAGACCCTGAGTATGGCCCCTCCTAGGTCAGGATTCCTCTCCATCCACAACCTGCAAAAATAGGGAGCAAGTCAGTTACACGTCCGTCTCCCCACTGCTGCGTCTGGCTCCATTCTCAATGCCTTCTTCCTTTCTACTTTAAGTGTCTAGATTCATGTTCCCAGAGCTTTCTCTCATCCTTCAAACAGATGCCTGGGATGAGCTGTACACTGCAATGGCTCAAGGAGAGGCAGAAGTTTCAGTGGAAAGAGCACTGGATTGGCTTTCCCAAATCTGGGCTCTGCTCATGGTTCTCCCATGGGCCTACATCAGAAATCAGCAAACTTTTTTTTTCTATAAAAAGCCAAAGAGTAACTATTTTTGGCTTTTGGGCTAAATGGTCTCTGTTGCAACTGCTTGGCTCTGCTGTCATGGTGCAGAAAGTGGCAGTAGGCAGTGTGTGGCTCATTGATAAACTGTACTAACAAAATGCAGGACATTGCTGGCCCAGCCCTACTGGACTGTGGAGCTGGAAGCACGTGTAGACTGTGGTTTGAGTCCTGGTTGGCCTGAACGTTTGCTGGGCATGTGCACATATGGCCAGGATCCTGTGGGCTGGAAGACTGGAGGAGGGGATTGTGGCACTCACTTTCTCTGTCTCTTATGCACACACATGTACTATACCATGAATAGAAAAAAAATTCCATTCTTAAATCATGGGCTATCTAAAAAATACCACCCAGGCTATGTGTATGTCTAATCTGTAGGCTATAGTTTGCTAAGCCTGGACCAAGGGAAGTCATAACCTCTATGTATTTCCATTTCCTCATTGAGAAAATGCAGACAGCCTGTGTTCTATCTACCTCATAAACCAACATGAGCAGAAGGAGGTGCTTTACAAATTAAATGGCACTCGAGCAGTAACAAGGTTGTTATCAGGCTAAGTTCAAAAAATGGACTCACTTTTATTACCTATTTTTTGGTATAGGATGCGTGCACTCGCCAGAAAGATTACATCTATAAAGACCCAGTTTCCCAATACGGTTACACTCTCAGGTAACTTGGATAGACATGAATTTTGGTGAGACAGTATTGAACCCAATAGATCTGCTCTCTGACCCCCCAAGATTATGTCTGTTCCACACATTCACTCTGTTCCAACATCCCTAAGTCTTAACCCATTCCAGTATCAACTCTGTGTCCCAAATTTAATCTAAATTGAAAAGCTCTATATAGATCTTGACCTAAATTAAGTATGGGTAAGACCCTGAGTATGGCCCCTCCTAGGTCAGGATTCCTCTCCATCCACAACCTGCAAAAATAGGGAGCAAGTCAGTTACACGTCCGTCTCCCCACTGCTGCGTCTGGCTCCATTCTCAATGCCTTCTTCCTTTCTACTTTAAGTGTCTAGATTCATGTTCCCAGAGCTTTCTCTCATCCTTCAAACAGATGCCTGGGATGAGCTGTACACTGCAATGGCTCAAGGAGAGGCAGAAGTTTCAGTGGAAAGAGCACTGGATTGGCTTTCCCAAATCTGGGCTCTGCTCATGGTTCTCCCATGGGCCTACATCAGAAATCAGCAAACTTTTTTTTTCTATAAAAAGCCAAAGAGTAACTATTTTTGGCTTTTGGGCTAAATGGTCTCTGTTGCAACTGCTTGGCTCTGCTGTCATGGTGCAGAAAGTGGCAGTAGGCAGTGTGTGGCTCATTGATAAACTGTACTAACAAAATGCAGGACATTGCTGGCCCAGCCCTACTGGACTGTGGAGCTGGAAGCACGTGTAGACTGTGGTTTGAGTCCTGGTTGGCCTGAACGTTTGCTGGGCATGTGCACATATGGCCAGGATCCTGTGGGCTGGAAGACTGGAGGAGGGGATTGTGGCACTCACTTTCTCTGTCTCTTATGCACACACATGTACTATACCATGAATAGAAAAAAAATTCCATTCTTAAATCATGGGCTATCTAAAAAATACCACCCAGGCTATGTGTATGTCTAATCTGTAGGCTATAGTTTGCTAAGCCTGGACCAAGGGAAGTCATAACCTCTATGTATTTCCATTTCCTCATTGAGAAAATGCAGACAGCCTGTGTTCTATCTACCTCATAAACCAACATGAGCAGAAGGAGGTGCTTTACAAATTAAATGGCACTCGAGCAGTAACAAGGTTGTTATCAGGCTAAGTTCAAAAAATGGACTCACTTTTATTACCTATTTTTTGGTATAGGATGCGTGCACTCGCCAGAAAGACAGGGATAGAAAGTGAGAAATCACACACCCCCTCCCCCAGGGAGGATGGCCACACCGCAATCCCTTCTCCTCCATTCTCCTCTTGGGATCTTGGGCGCGCACACACACTTGCCTGGCATGAGTTTAAGCCACCAGGTCTGGGACTCGAACCACAGTTGACTACATGAAAGTTCAGCAACATAGCCATTAAGCCAACTGCTGGTCCTGGGCTATTGCTATTTCTAATAATGTTCTCTGTGGGCTGGTCCTAATTCCAAACATGAAACTGTAACAAAGTATCATGCTTAGGTCATAAAATGATAAAATGATTAGTGTTCTGATATATTCAGTAATTAATTTAACCATGCTGTATGTTGTCTTTACAAAATATTGCATAACTTGAAACAACTGATTAAGAAGACAGAGATGAGC